AATGACAATTACTACCACTGTTATGATAAAGTGTTACTATGACTACCTGTAAATGGTAGATGGATCTAGAAGGATGTGGAGGAGCTTCTGTGAGGGAATTCTTCCCTGTAGACAGTAAGGAGCCATGAAAAAATTTCATAAACAATTCAAACTAAAGGAGATGTCTTTTAGGAAGTTGAAGTACGTACTGTGTTGCACAGTGTGGGCTAAAAACTAGAGCACAACCTTGAGTCAGGAATCCACTGGGAAGCCCATAGCAATGTCAGACAGGAAGAGTAATTTGGCAGTAATGTCTTTTTTTTTAAAGAGGGGCTGGTTATTTATTTCAAAAAGACACTTGGCAATAATGTTCAGTATCAAAACAGTTGCACTACTGGTCCTTTCTCCTGACTGGCTCCAAAGAGAGACCACAACAAAGGAGCATACCTTTTTTTAAAAGCCAATAAGCTGCAGGATGTACACTCAACAGACCTCACAGAAACCTCACCTAAAAGTGGGTTCAGCACACTGCCAGCCCACAGATTCTAGCGAGCTCTCACAGCCAGATGGAGTAGCCATGCGTTCCAACCCTAAAGAAGAAAAATTTCAAAATAATATTAAAAAGTTTTATACCTAAGCTATTCAAGATTTCTCTAGCACTGACTGATACAAAGCACAATGAGATGGCACTTTCAGAGAGGGCAGCTCCAGAACCAGCAAAGGGTGAGATTAACTTCATGTGGCCGAATCAATGGCAAAGACATCATTTTTCTTTTCTTTCAAGGAGGCAGGGAAACAATTAATTGATCACCTCAACATTAAGGAAGGGACACATGATCCATTCAGTGAGCAGCTGGGAAGCGGGTAGAAATGGGACAAAAATCTGGTCTCAGGCTGGGGATAGATTTAGTGGAAGAGCACTTGCCTAATGTGCATGAGGCCCTCCCTGGGTTCCATCTCCAGCATCACAAAAGGAAAAAAAAAAAAAAGTCTCAGAAGTCTCACCGTCTTAATTTGCTCACTTCTGATGAAAAAAGTAACAAATAAAAATAAAGTTGTCCAAAGATACCTTAAAGCTCAAAACCTGAGCAGCACGGATTGATCACTTTCCTGGTTTGGCTGGTGCTTGGTGCAGAGCAGTGAGGTTTCCTACAGTGGAGTCTTTCCCTGGGACAACATGCTTTTAAAGACACTTTGCACTGTGCTCACATTTCCTTAAATGTTGTTCCCAGAGGTCCTCAGCCTCTAGCCCAGCTGGAATCTCAGAAGACGGCTTGAGGAAAGAGACAAAGGGCTTGGGGTAAGGTAGGATGGGGAGAGAAGTCGCAGAAAGGAGAAAGCAGCCTTCCGGTTAAAAGATCAGCCCTCAGTTGGGCAGGCGGCCTCAGGCAGTGTGGGGTAGGAGGGAGGAGCCGCAGCAGAGCGGGGTTGGGGAGCTCTACGGTCAGGCAGTCTGGTCCAGCCTCCTTTGTGTACAGAGGTGCTCCTCTGGTGCCTTTCAGCTTATCTCCCAAGTCATCAGTTGTCTTTTCCAGTTTGATCTCTCAGCAAAGTCAGCACGCGTCTCCTCCTCCTCCAGTTTATCAGTAAGAATCTTTATCTCTTCCTCATATTTGTCTTCCTGTGGGGAGTACTTTTCTTCGGCAGCACTCAGACACTTCAGGTTCTGGCCCATCAGTCTGATGTGCTCATTCATCTCCCGGCAACGGGACTCTGCCAGCTCAGCTCGCTCCTCTGTGCGTTCCAAGTCCCCTTCAGTAGTCACCAACTTACAAGCCACTTCTCCATACTTCTTATCGGCCTCTCCTGCTTTATGTTTTGCTTCTTGGAGTTAGATTTCCTTGAGTTCCATCTTTTCTTCATCGTTTAGGTTTGGGTTTTCAGTAACCTTCATACTTCTCACTCTCGCCGGCAGCTTTCTCAGCTTTCTTCAGCTTTTACAGGGCAGTGGCCAGGCGCTCCCGTGCGCGGTCCAGCTCCTCTCCAACCAGCTGGATCCTAGGGTTCAGGGAGGCGCCCTCTACCTCAGCCTGTTCCCGAGCCCGCCTTTCTCCCTCCACCTCCCGCTGCAGGCGTTCGGTCCTCTCCTCTGCAACATCGGCTTGCTGCCGAAGAACCTGGATCTTGCGCTTCACAGCCTCGAAGGTGGTGACCCCCGGCCGCGGTGCCCACCCAGCTGCCTCTGTCTCAGCCCCCCCGCCTCCTCAGTCGGGAGCTGCAGCCGCGTCTCTAATTTGGCCGTCATTTCACAGGGAGAACTATCCTGTCGTGGCTATGATACACGCAGTACGCAAAGTTGAAGAAGTGGAAGAGGGGGTAGCAAGGAGAAACTTGGGTGTAGACTAAAAAAGGAGTAAGAGTGATTATAGGATGATGATGACGGACATAATGGTATCATTTTTCATTTGTGAATAATTGTCTTGTGAGGTTTTATATTTGGTACAGCATAAATAAATTTTATATACATTGGTAAGAATTACCAGGACTGTGAGTTTAACTCAGTGGCACAGCACCTGCCTGGCAAGTGTGAGGTCCTGAGTTCTATCCCTAGCACACACACAAAAAAAAGAATTACCAAGTAACTGGCCACAGTTCTAGGCGATAAGATTCTGTCATGTGTTATTTTATTTTCAAATCCTTTCCTTCCGTTATGATTGATGTATAATTCATTGAAAGTAAAAATAACCAAATGACAGAAAGATATCAGGACCAAAACTAGACTTTTGACCTTTTGTTTTATAACAGAAATATTTATACATCCACAAAGAAAGGAGAGTAGTATATTGAACTTGGATCTTTGCACTTACAGGCAGCAGAACCACTAAGCTAAATCCCTGGCTCCAAACTTTAATGTGCCTATCACTGTTTTCCAGCAACTACTCACCATTTTCCAATCTTGATTCATATACTTGGCTCCTCTTTCTTTTTTCTTTTTTTAAGGTAGGAAAATTTATTGAGGGAAAGAAAGCTTCTGTCTGAGACAGAAGGGGGACGGAAAGTGGGTTGCCCACTCACCTCGCTTCCCCAAGATGTTTTATGTAGCAAAACCATGTGGGGAGGTGGGTACAAAGTGGGACAAAACTATAAGACCCAATGGAAAATTGCAAGGTGGGCAAGAGGTGGGGCAAAACCATGACCAACCAATAAGATTACAAGTACAGTCACCCAGGTAATATTGATTAAGTGGGGGTCAAATGGGGGAGCAAGTCATACAGCAAGCATACAAGGATTTTCAGTAATGCTAGGGGTCAGGGATATTTCCTGGAAAGGCTGGGTTAAGACCTTGCCCCCTCCACCCAGGTGATGAGTACCTATTTAGAATATCAATTACTGCTATGTATCCCTATTTAAGCACAAGGGAATAGTAGTTTCTATCCTTTTACAATTCTGGCCATAGTAAATCTGTCTTTATTGTCCTCCATGTTGGCTCCTTGCTGTGTTGGCTCCTTGAGGGCAGTCCTATCTAACTGCCTAAAAGATATCTAATTAACTTACCTATCTGCAGTATTCCCCCCTCTGAAGAAGTGCCCCTAACTGCTATGAAGGGGCAAAGGGCTACTTCCAGCTGAAAAGGGTCATAGTTGTGATCAGCAGTTAGAGTTACTCTATCTAAAGGCCTTGGATAGGTACCAGGCGTTGTCATCTTGGTAGCTGCATAGCTTTTAAATCTGGAGGAGAAAAAAGTAAAGAAACAGTTAACAATGCATGGGCCAAATTATAAGGTCAGAAGGATTTCTGTGAATATAGCCCACAAAGAGGATAAGTAGAAGTCCAGGGGACTTCAGAATCCAACATAGAAGTCATATAGTTTAGCAGTTATGAGCTGTTTACAAGGTTGATCTGATGACTCCCAGTAGAAGAAGTCTAGAAAATTTGTCATTGGTTCCACTTGTATGACCACGTGGAGTTTGGCAGCCTCTAGGCAAGAATAAATAAAACTTTTAAGAAATTAGAGTATGCATAACCTAAGCATGAGCACACTAGAATGAAAGGGCAGGTTGGGGAGAAAGTCACACTTAGAAAATGAAATAGTGATTGAAACTGCTGGACTTAGATTCTTTCATTGATTTATCTATAAGTCTGGTAATTTGTCATAAGTCTGTCTAGTTTTAGCTGTAAAATAAGAGACAATTTGAAGAACAAATTTTACTAAGAAATACAAAACTCTAGCTGAGCTCTTGTAGATTTTGCCGTAGTTTGTTTTTTCTAATGATCCATAACAATGGTCAGATACTGGTAGAGCTGGAAACTGCCAGAAGGGGTCAGTGACTGGAGCCCCTTTTTATATCTAGCTTTATTACTATGGCATTATTTTATAACTCTCTTGGTTATTCTTTTCTTCTGCGTGTTTAAGACTGGGTTAAAGTGAGACCTGTGTCAATCAACATGAACCTCTTGCTATCTATCAAGGTCAGTTCAGTCTCTTCAGGCAGTATTTTGGAACCATGGATAGAGCCTCTCAGCTCCTGTCAGTGTCAGCCATCAGGATGGGTCACAGCCTTGCTTGACCATGTTGCTTTCAGTGAAAGTGTGGGAGACTTGTCCCTCTTGGTGACCCTCCTTTGGCACATAGTATATTTGTCCTCCTGTGTCCAGCAATCTCCCTACTCAGGAGGTTGAGTGACTTACCAAAGATGTAGGATCCCATAGGGAAGGTTCCTTTGTGTCCTGGATCTTGTAGACCTTGAGGGGCCAGGGCCAAAATATTGGCTGTCCTCATAGTCCAGTTACCTTTCTAGTTTTCGTCTCCAAACTGCGACCAGTAATCTCAGTGAACTCCTCTTTCATAGAATACTTAAGGAATCATCAAGATTTTTATTCAGCTAGAAAACTTTCAGTGTTCATCTCTGACTGATAAAGGCATATAAACTATATGGTAGTTGTAATCGTAATAGGAATTGTAGCCATAAGAGAAAATAGTGAAGTATGCTGAGTCCTGACTATCCAACGTAAGTGGTAAAATTTTCATGTGCTTGGTTTTGTTTTTTATGATCTCTCCTTAGGCAGATGGGGAAGACCCCATGGAACCGCAGAACAACACATGGGTGGAAGAGTTTGTCCTCTTGGGTTTCTCACAGATGCAAGGGCTCCAGAAATTCCTGTTCCTGGTGTTCCTACTTGTGTATGTCATCACAGTGGCAGGAAACCTCCTTATCATGGTCACAGTGACTTTTGACCCCCGGCTACACATGCCTATGTATTTTCTGCTCCAAAACCTGGCTGTCATTGACCTCTGCTATTCCACAGTCACCTGCCCAAAGATGCTGGTGGACTTCCTTCATGAGATTAGGACCATCTCCTACCATGGCTGCATGGCCCAGATCTTCTTCTTCCACCTGCTGGGAGGCGGGACTGTCTTCTTCCTCTCCGTGATGGCCTATGACCGCTACATAGCCATCTCCCGGCCCCTCCACTATATCACCATCATGAACACTCAACTGTGTGTGGGCCTGGTGGTGGCTGCCTGGCTAGGGGGCTTTGTCCACTCCATTGTCCAGCTGGCTCTGATGCTGCCGCTGCCTTACTGTGGCCCCAATGTCCTGGATAACTTCTACTGTGATGTCCCCCAGGTACTCAGGCTAGCCTGCGCTGACACATCCCTCCTGGAGCTCCTCATGATCTCCAACAGTGGGATGCTGGTTCTCATCTGGTTCCTCCTCCTTCTCATCTCTTACACGGTCATCCTGGGGATGCTGAGGTCTCACTCTGGGCAGGTGAGGAAGAAGGCAGCTTCCACCTGCACCACCCACATCATCGTGGTGTCTATGATCTTCATTCCCTGTATCTATATCTACTCCCGGCCCTTCACCCCCTTTCCCTTGGACAAAGCTGTGTCCATCAGCTACACGGTCATGACGCCCATGCTCAACCCAATGATCTACACCCTGAGGAACCAGGAGATGCGGGCAGCCATGAAGAGATTAGGCAAGCGCCTAGTGATTTGCAGCAGGGAGTGAACTTTAAATAGATCATGACAAATCTCCCTAAACTTGTGCTGTCCCATGTGCAAAACGAAAGAAAGTCTTTATAAAGTACAACAAGTCAGATTGCACTAATATTTTTTTAAATGGTACTGGGAATCAAACTTGGGACCTTGCACTTATGAGGCAGGCAGTAGCACCACTGAGCTAAATCCCCAGCCTGCACTAATATTTCTTGTGGACCTACTCTGGTGTCAGGTATGGTGTTAGGCACTTACACATTTATCTCATAAAATTGACAGTGGGTGTATTATTATTATTAAACAGTTTTACAGTGAGAAAATTTGGAGCATAGTGATCTGCTCAAAGGTGAACAGCAGATGAGTAGCAAAATTTGGTTCCTCTGATTCCAGGTTAGAGACAGAAGTGAATGATATTTGAAGCTCCAACTCTTCCACCATCACAAGGGAAAATCTTGAAAGTTCTTCTTGTGTAGATGAATATCTGGGATGTATGATTGACTGTCTGATTTCAACTCCAGGACAGTCACATTCTGTTCTCCTTCCTATCTCCCTACCTCGTTGTCTGAGTTTTTCCCATAATTGCATTTGACCTTGGTTTTGGTTCACTCTACCAAACACTTTTCAAATAATTTTCAAATCATGCTACTTACTTGCTGTGGTTTAAATATGCTCCCACCAAAGTTTATGTGTTAGAAACTTAATCCTCAAATTCATATGTTGATGGTATTTGGAGGAGGGGCTTTTGGAAAGTACTCAAGGTCAAATGAGATCACCAGGGCGGAACTTCCTCCACACCACGATGGCTTTAGAAGGACAGAAATACTTGAGTTGGCATGGTGGTACACACTTGTAATCTTAGTTACTTGGGAGGCTGAAGCAGGGGGATTGCAAATTAAAGGTCAGCCTGGGCAACTTAGCAAGACCTTATCTTTTACATTATTTTAGAGGAATTAGGATGTGGCTTAATGGTAGAGCAGTTACCTAACATTCTCACAGCCCTGGGTTCAATCCCCAGGACCACAAAAAGGACAAAGAAGAAAGGAACAAAGGAAGGGGGGAGAGAGAGAGAGAGAGAGAGAGAGAGAGTGAGTCAAAGGGACCAGAGCTGATGCTGACGCTTTACCTCCTCCCCTTGCTATGTGATGCCTGTGGCCACAATATGATGTAGCAAAAAGGCCCTCATCCAATGCTACATCTTGATGTTGTACTTACCAGATTTCAGAACTATAAGAAACAAGTTTCTTTTCCTTATAATTTACCCAGTCTGGTATTCTGTTATGGCAGCAGAAAATAGATTACAACAATGACCACTATGCTAGTATTAAGAAATGGGACTTTAAACCAGGCGTGGTGGCACATGCCTGTAATCCCAGCACTTGGGAGGCTGAGGCAGGAGGATCGCTGTGAGTTCAAGACAGTCTGGGCTGCATAGTGAGTTCCACATCAGTCTCAACTACATAGTGAGACCCTGTCTCAAAAAACCAGGAAAAAGAAAAGAAATGGGACCTTGAAAAAGTGATTAGGCCATGAGGACTCTTTCCTTGTGAATGGGACTGAATGTCTTCACCTCCTGCCATGAAAGGACACCACACTCCTCTCCAGAGGACCAACATCTAGGCGCCATCTTGGAAGCAGGGAGCAGCGTCACCGGTCAACAAACCTGCTGAGGCACTGGTCTTGGACTTTACAGCCTCCGCAGCTGTGAGGAAATAAATATCTGTTCTTCATCCATCACTCATTCTCAGGTATTTTTAAATAGTGATATAAAAGATTAAGACATTACCCAACACATTCTTTTCACTGTTTGGGTGGTAGGGCTGAGAGGAAAATGGCATAATATGGTTAAAGAACCCAGGCAGAGAGGCAGGGCCATAAATCTTAGGGTTCCAAACTTGGGTAGTGAGTTCAGGTCCAAGGCTACCAACTCATATACATTTTGTCTTCTCCTTGACTTGTCACTCTAGAATGATGGGCCAGACATTATTCATTTTTAAATTATTTCAGTTACTTGAACAGTATCTGACAGGGAGATGTTTCTGCTTTTTCCTACTTCTTGCTATTTCTTCTTTGTTTTGTTTGTTTGTTTTTCTGAGACAAGGTCTCACTATGTACTTCAGGCTGGTCTTGAAATCACAGTGACCCTCCTACTTCAGCCTCCCAAGTGCTTGGACTACAGGAATGTGCCACCATGCCTGGCTGTTGTTATTTCTCCTGTCAACTTCATTTATTTTTCTTGAGACAGGGCCTTTCTATGTTATTCAGGCTTGGCCTTGAACTCATAATCCTCCTACCTCAGACTCCTGAGTAGTGAGATTGCAAGTGCTCACCACTGTGCCTAGATTCAGAATCTATTTTTTGAAAATTTCTGTCCCTATCTCTGTGCATTTATTTTTATTATTTTTATTTTTTGGTACCAGGGATCAAATTCAGGTCCTTGTGCTTGCAAGGCAGGCTGCAGGGCCACTGAGCCAAATCCCCAGCCCCTCTGTGTATTTATTTTCTCTATCTCCTTTGGGGTATAAATCATTTTATAAAAGTTTCATGGTAGTGTTAATCCAAAATTAGGAAGATAATGCAGACTCTTTTTTTTTTTTTTTTTTGGTACTGGGGATTGAATTCAGGACCTCACATTGCCAAGCAGGGGTGGCACTGCTGAGCTAATCCCTAGTATACACAGATTCTTTTTTGTTCCCACTTCTCTCCCAGCAACATCCAATGCAAGAAATAAGAGTCATTGGCTCTTCTTGGTTTCTCTAAACCATTATAGCAACTCTTGCTTTATCTGTTCTTGACTTCTTCCTGTTTTCATTTCACACATTTATCATATTCTCACTCAAATATTGAAAATGAGGGGAGGGAGAAAAGGATTTATTGTGTTACTTCATCTATGGTATTCCTCAGAAGAGGTTTTATTCTCCTTTCATGTTAAGGTCTTTTAAATATCTGGTGATACTTTTCACATCCTCTAATTTTTCTCTTCTCCAGATGCATTCCTTCAATTATTCCCATTGTCACAAGTTTCCTAACTCCACCATCCTGTTCAGTCTTCCATATCCACTCTTGTAGGACAACAGCCCCCTCTTTAAAAGCGTGTGTGTACTGTATGACATCGCTGCCCTGGGGATGTGAGTTCTTTAGAAAACAATGAAAGAGGAAACTCCTAAAACCATCTCAGTAGAGTCCTCACTTGATCCACTTGGCTATTGTCAGGTCATATGGTCACCCATTGTAGGGAACAGGAAGTGGGAAGGCTACTAGGACCTCTGCAGTGAGTCCCTAGTCTCCTGTGAGCCACTACTGCACAAGGTGAAATAATGAATTAAGAAAGAAAACAAGACTTAGAGAAGAAGGTGAGCTTTGGGCCTGATCAATGCTGCTCTGGGCAGCAAAGATGAAAAGGCCCCAGCTTGCCACACCTTTATGCAGTAAATCAGTAGTAACAGATGACTCCGAGGACTGTGGTTGATAATTCTAGAACAATGAGGACTTCATGCAGATGAAGATATTGTTCCTCCCTAGGACGTCTTCAACTGGTGTAATCTTGCCCTAGAGTATCACGGCATCAACAGACCATTGAGGTTTTAGCTGTGAATGGAGGAGAAAATGGAGTTATGTCTTCACATGCCATAGCCAACCTGTAGGCTGGAAAAATTTACCTAATCATTATTTAATTGTGAAATGATTTTCCCTCAAAATTATATAGAATTGCTCCTGAAAACCCGTATGTATAGGAGAAAGAACAAGTGAACAACTGGCTTGTTCGGCCAGGAAAAAAAAAGGGGGGATTGGGAATGGCAAATGAAAGAATCTAGCACATAGGTGGAATCCTTCAGCAGCAGGAAGAGACATTATTATCTTGAGCAAAGACTACTGACAATGAGAGAACTCTATCACAGGCAGGAATCATAAAATTAAATTGCTCAGTAAAACCAACAAATAACGTGAATAAGTTGAGTGGGCCCAGTGAAATTGAAGGTGAACTGGAAAGTGCTTATCTGGGCAAAACAGAAAATTCCACTCCTAGTCCCTTCCTCTCCCCAATGCAGAACCCCCATACCTAAGCCCTTATAGAAAGTTCAGATTATGTTTAGAGCTACTAATCAGCCTCAGAGAACCAGTTCCAAATCATCTCTCCAAAGTGGCATTCAGCATCTTCTGACCAAACAAATAAGCTGACAAGCCATGGAGAGTCCTGCACCTTCTCAAACCCTGCCCTATTTTAGTGATTTGATTCTCAACACTAATAGCCAGAGACCATCAGACAGATGAAGAAAACTTTGAATATAAAAGACAAACACTAATGTGAAACAAGAAACTAAAAAAAAAGGAACTCCAAGCAGAAAGAGGCAACTCATAGAAAAGAAGAAAACTTCCTAAAATTTTTTTGAGTTAAATGTTTTATTTTGAAGTGATCGTAAATCTATCTGAGGTTATAAGAAATAATGAAGAAGAGCTCTCATGTGCCCTTTACCCAGTTTCTTCTGAAGTTAATTGATGCAGCCTGAATGTTTACATCCCTCTAAATTCACATGTTAAAACCTAATCCCTAATACTGTGTGATGATATTTTGGGAGGGCCCTTTGATAGGTGATTAAGTCACCTAATGTAAATAGGATTGGTGCCTTTATAAAAGAGACCCTGGAGAGTTCTCTCTTCCTTCCCCCATGACATAAGTCAAGAAGTCAGCTGCCTGTAAGCCAGAAAACAGACCTTCAGGAGCTACCCAGTCTGCTAGCACAAGGATTTCAGACTGTGAGAAAAACATTTTTGCTGGTTATAAGCCACCCAGTGTCTGGTGTACCACTTGTGGCAGTCTCAACAGATTAAGACAGAAATATCCTGCAAAACCACAGTGGAATATCACAACCAGAATATTAGCACTGGTACAGACAATGTGCAGCACTGGAAGCTTAGGATAATTGATGTCCACAGTTAAGAGAGGCATTACTTTCATGAAAGAAAATTGGGATGCCATTTTAGGGACAAGCAATCAGAACAATGACAAAAGATTTC